TGCAGCATGTGGAAGGTAATGTGTTGATAGAATATGAGATCTTGAATATTGGAATGACTACACATTCATTCAGAGGAGAAAGATGAAAATATTGGACTAAAATCTTATTCGTTATTGTCATTATGGAAATGGTATTATTCAGGAGCAATCTTCTATGCTTTAAAACCAATACTGAACGTGATTGGTTGTTTTTATACGGATTTGCTACCGATAATGTTGCCAACATCAACTTTATTGAACTCAGAATACTTAGTTTAAGTTTATACCTTCTGTTTGTTTTCTAGGACACCGTCATTTATGACCGACTGGCAGAGACTTCAAAATACAAAGAAATTACCCTAAAACATTTAGAGCAGTTTGCTACAGAAGGTGAGTGTACTATTGTAATAAAGCATGATTAAATATGTTTTTAAAGTCATAGACTACCGATATCCTGTGGGATCATTGTTATTATTTTACTTAGAGATTCCTGAAGCAAGATAATGATTAAAGTTGATTACTTACGTCATACTATATGCTATTCCCACACGTTATTTTCATTTTGCTTTCCTGTATTTATTAAAATTTTAAGAAACTTTGTCCCCTTGGTGTAGTAGGTACAGGGCCTATAAATTGGCCCACTTTCGAGAATGGGCACTATTTACAGTTTAAATACTTGACTTTGTATCTCAAGCAATGCAGAAGGAAAAGAAACGAGAGGCAAAGAACTGGATATTCTAATCTGAATAAAAAATAGAAGAAATAAATAAACCTGTATAACCTATTAAAATAGTTACTCAATTCAGTTTCAACTCAAGAGTTTTCTTAGGCCCCTGCGCACACCAGCCTCTGTGTGAGGCCTGAGAATCTGTGGTAAACATACTCGGTCCTGCTTCTCCATCCTACGGAAACGTGTGATCCCTGGGACAAACAGTGCATATCCTCTGGGAGCTGATCTAGGGCAGAGGAAAGGAAGGGAGAGTCGACAAATACCAGGCTCAGTTATACAAAATCTGTAGAGTCTTAACTCTAAACTTAATGTAAGTTGTTCGAGCTGCATCTAACCTCCCATCTAACTTTCACTCTTGTCTCGGGTTGGAACCCGTGCCAGTGGCACCAAGCCTGACCTCAGATCAAATCCTTCTTCCTCTTAATCCGAACTGTGAAAAGACCGGAATGTTTCAAAGCACTAGGCTTTGAAAAGCAAGGAAATAAATAACCTCCCGATTCTCCTCCAAAAATGCGAGAACATGGAGAGACTCACGTCCATAGCGTTCAGATTCCTTCAGGCGCAGCCTCCGAGGGCTCGGCAGGTTTAACTACCCAGCATGCAGCGCAGGCTCCCAATCAGCGGAGCATCTTCCCTCTCTGGTTGTGATGTTAAAGACATGCCAGCACCCAGACAGTTCAAATGGGCATGACCTCCGCCTCCACCCCATTCTTCCTGGCCCTGGTCTGAACACACTTCGACTCCACGGCTTCCCCACAGTAAGTCTCCAGCCAAGTTTCCGAAAGAGAGAAACATGTCCTAATGTGGCCCCAGAGATTTCAGTTCCTCTCTCGGTGATCGGGCCATAGACAGCCCTGCTGATTTCTGGGACAGCAGAGTCCTCCGGGCACTTGATGTCCTGTGTTCTTTGTTTCTTGTTTCTGACATGTTCCCCGGCCATGGTTTATTGACCTAAGATCACTAGCACATAGTCTTCTGAGAGGTCAGTGAACTTGAGCGAGGGCCTTGTCTTTTCGGGAACCTGGTTAACTGCATTGGTCATGGCTGACAGGCTTTTTGCCTCTTCCTTGTTTCAACCCAGGGACATTTTTCTGGCTGAAGGTAGCCTCCAGGTGAGTTATGAAATTGAAAGATGCTGAGCCCTGGGAACAGGTCCCCTCAAACATCAGCTTTGACTTTTCCACAGGCTGTTTCCGATGGTTTTTTGTCACTACTCCTGTTTTTTTTAAGACTCTTTATAATTATAAATTTATAGTGGTAAAAAGCAATAATAAATACAACCCTGTCCCAGTGAGAGGAAGGTGGCTCTCCCAGTGGACCTCACTGGGGTCTCTCTTCCTCACTTCATAAGCTAGGAAGCCAGTATGATGAGCCGGCCACTGTGCTCAGAACTGGAGTTATAGATACAGAAGGTCCCTGCTTTCCAGGAATGCTAAGCTAATATAGGAGAAAATAATAATAATAATAATAATGAAACATTGTCATTCACACCATAGCAGTGTTTGGGGATTTCTGACCAGGCTTGGAGGGGGGGCGGGTGTCTGGGTGAGAGGAGGATGCTTTAAAGAGGTGATTTTAAGAATTAGTCTTAAAGTAGATGCAAAACAGACAGTGGAAGTGGAAGAGAATTGGAGAAGGTGCGATGCAGAAAAAGTGACCGTGAAGGCCCTGGTGTGTAGGAAGTGAATGGCAGAGAATGGGGTTGAAAACAATGCTATAGGGTGAATGAGCCAGACTTTAGGGTTTGGAATTCTTTCTGGGGAACGAATGAAAGATTTCAAGCAAAGGCATAACCTGGTAAAATTAGGTTTTAAGAAAGTCACTCTAGCCATGGAGGATGGATTGAAGGAGCTTGGAATTAAAATCAGGGTGCCAATTTTAAAGGCTAGGGAAATATTAATACACATTTACGCTAAGGTTTGTCATTCTTGAATTGGACTTCAACATGTTGCAATTAAATCAATGTTTCCTAAACAAGACGTTGTTAAAAATGGAAGTGTCAGACTCCTGAATAAAATTTTATTTGGTGTTGAGGTGTATGCTCCCTTTTTCAGGGTTAAGAACTTTATGCTTCGCTGTGGCTGAGATTTCAGAGAGTGACTTTCAGGAGTGGCGAGCAGTCTACGAGCGCGCGTCCACCGCTGTGCAGAACCGGCCACTCAAGCTCGAGGAGAGCTATGAGTTAATCGAAAAGGTGCGTGGAAGGCTGTTCTGTTCATATAGAACGTGTGGTTTCCAGAAAACTTCCGTCTTCACTCATGGGGCTAATAAAATAAAAACCAAAATATCTTTCACACTCCACTTACTGTTGAATCTCCTCTAGTCTAAGCACTGACAGATCTTAATACCAGTTAAGGTTTTTGCTGAAAAGTCTCTGGAATGACTTTGTATGGATCTTTACTCATGACACAGTTGTGGAGCTAAAACTCAAAGGTAGTTTAGTCTAGCAATACTCCTTGCCTTGCCGTGTATGTATTCCATTGCTTCTGCATCACTCAAGATATGTATGCCACACTCCACGCACACGGACATGCACATATGCACGCAAGTGACATATACATGCATGTGTACATATAGTTAATGAACGTGTATAGTATGTAATTCAAAATAACAGAGTAAATATTTGGTAGCTAATAATAAAGAATGTGTCAGCCACTGTTCACTTTTATGCATCCATCATTTCTGTCACAACTAAAAATATCCTCATTTTTCTATCCAACCAACCAAGGCTATTCAGCCCCAAAGTGATGGATATGCTATAATCTATGCTGTTTAAATAGCAAGAAATCTTGCTTCCTTAATTAATATCAACAAACATTTTTACATAGTACTACTATGTGTCGGGTGCTGTTTGTAGCACTTGAATCTATTTACTTATTTAATCTTCACTATACTGCTTTGAGGTAGGTACCATTAATTATCCCAACTTTTCAGATGAAGGAATCAAGGTAACAGAGAGGTTAAGTAATTTGGCTGAGATTACACAGCGCGTAAGAGGACAGAATTCTCACTCTGGCTCCAGAGTTCATGCTCTTAGCCACACAAGCATCTTCATTCTAACCTTTAACTTTATATTAAGTAACTTCCTAAGTACATTATTCCTTCAACTGTACTCGTGTGTACTGCATAGAAGCAAGCTTCCTGTTGGTTACAGTTTATTGGATCTTGCTTTCAGGTGAGTAAAAGCCAGCATTTCCCCCTCCCACTCCCCGTGTGCCCTCCCCTCTGGGAACGCTCATGCTCCAACTGCAGGCGGTTTCTCTGTTGGAAACAGTTGCTGTCTGTGACTCTAGATCTCATCCTCCTGCCTCCTCGGTGGATAATGATCACTTTATTTGTTTCTCCCTTGTATTTGAACTGTAGATGTGCACACATAGCAGGAGGCTTGTTACCAATCAAATTATTGAATTTCTCTTTTTTTTTTCCTAACACGCTCATATATGATTATGCCTTGGGGTATTATGTGGTGAAATAAAATAATATTTTATTGGTGAGGCCATGACCATAATCTCTTTCAATCTCGTCAACCAAAGTCACATGTCTTAAAGCACTAATGGTATTGATTTGTAATCTTTTGCTTTTCTTACTCTTCAAGAAGTAAAGAAATAAAGCTTTACCCTGTTTGGAAATTCTCCTGTCTCCTTTTCTACACAGCCTGAACAAAAAGTAGCCAGCCTTTTCCCACATGCTAGTGAGATAGCATTAATAATCAATAAGTGACAAGAAAATATTTGAAGATGGATTTTAGATATTAAGTTGTGTTTCTATGTGCAGCAGACTGTAGGAAATTCTGGAATTGAATCTTTAACCTGGATGTCCTATAATTTCTAGATTAGATTTTATAGGTTAAACAGTGGTCATGGTGGTGTGGTGTGTGTTTGTGAGTGTACGTGTGTGTGTAATACCTGTTTTTAGAAGCCTTGTGATTTTCATCTTTAAATGAAATAGATGTTTCACCTTTTACCAGCAGATGGCGATGGTGAGTCACATTGAAATTTAAGTTGCCTGGGGAAATCCATAACGTATGTGTGTATTTTTAGTTTACAAATACAGAAGCCTCCCTGACCACTGCCTCTTACCTAAAATAAATGGGAAAGGTAATTTATAGCTAATTCCTCTTTAGTTCGTGATAAGCTCTGGTCTCTAAGTTTTACAGAAAAATCTAAGACCCAGAAAGCTTAAGGTTGCCTGGTTCAGCCAGCTTGTTTCAAATTAGGACTGGTTTCCTAATTCATCCCTACCCCTGACACCATCGTTTCATCCGTTTATTCAGATCAGGTGGTTAATAAATGTTAGTTACCAGGGATGCACACGCAAATCAGCAATACGCAGCATGGCCCTCTCAGCAGCTTCCTTAAGGGTGTCTGAAGCGGGGAGGCGTGACTCGCAAACTTGATCCAAAGGAAACTTTCAGACAGGTGGCCGCTTTTGAAATGAGCCTCAAAAGATTATTTTGCCAGTTAAAGGGGAGCAGAGGTCCTTTTAGGAGAAAGAATAGGCACAGTGACAAGGAGGGAAGTCTTTGCAACTGAGAGCTGGTTTTCTGAAAAGTGCTTTTCCCAACCCTGATCTCGTTGGTACCTCTAGAGCAGCGGTTCTCAACCTGTGGGTCGCGACTCCTTTGGGGGTCGAACGACCCTTTCACAGGGGTTGCCTAAGACCATCGGAAAACACATACATAATTACATATTGTTTTTGTGATTAATCACTATGCTTTAATTATGTTCAATTTGTAACAATGAAATTGGGGGTCACCACAACATGAGGAACTGTATTAAAGGGTTGCGGCATTAGGAAGGTTGAGAACCACTGCTCTAAAGCCAGGTGATACCATGTCTTCATTAGTCTGAGTTCCCGTGCTTTGTTAAAACCAGCCAGGCTTCACATTCAGTGGGATCTCGGGGCGGTGACTGCCACCAAAGCCACCTAGGGAGGCAGGTCTCAACCTCAGACCACAGACCCTGCTGCTGCATCACCCTGGCTTACACGTAGCTCTCAATCTTACCATTCATCCACTGGCTTCTTCCTTGGCTCTTTTAATGGAGACATGTTGATTATGTAATCTTTTTAAATATGACTGGAATCGATTTTTTATGTAGAACATAACAGTGGCCTTACCACATTAGATAGTAAATTTTAAACTGAGAGTGGTTTGCAAATATCTCTCTCTCATCCCATTTTCCAAACAAAATATTGCCTGAATCATTATATATATACTAGAGGCCTGGTGCACAAAAATTTGTGCACTCGGGATGGGGGGGGGTCCTTCAGCCCGGCTTGTGCCCTCTCGCATTCTGGGACCCCTCGGGGGATGACCACCTGCTGGCTTAGGCCTGCTCCCCGGGGGATTGGGCCTAAGATGGCAATCAGACATCCCTCCAGCAGCCCTTGGGGGATGTCCACTTGCCAGCAGGGAGCAGGCCTAAACTGCAGCCGGACATCCTTAGCGTTGCTGAGGAGGCAGGAGAGGCTCCCACCACCACCGCTGTACTGGCAGCCATCAGCCTGGCTTGTGGCTGAGCAGAGCTCC